AGAAAAACGCGAAGTAACTGATAAAATAAAATGAAGTAGCTTGAAACTAGTACCTCTCCAAGCCCAAGACCCTCCACACCTCCCAGGTGTTCTTGTCACTCCATTGCGCATGCCACTTTTCAAGCGAGAAGCTGCTGTCATCGTTCGTGTACTGTCTCTTCTGCTTCTCCTCGCTGATGTCTTTGTAGCAGCGCCCGGCAGCTGTCGCAAGCTTGTTGACTGAGATGTAGACAGTCTGGGCATTCGTGCGAGCCCGCTTGGCTGCACTGCGCTGGTGTGAGGTTGGACTCGAGAGCGTGAAAAAAGCGAAAAAGCGGTCATCGTCAGAGCCAAACTCATCAGTGTACACTTTGTACACCCTCTCGAGTCGGTTGACTTTGGCCCGCTTCTGCTTCCAGATCTCGTGGTTCAGAGCTCTGTGGCGCTTCTCTTCATTGCCATAGAGCTTGCGATAGGCCTCCACAGTGCCATTCTTCGAGAGGTCGATCGCGTGCCGAAGGTCATCGATGTGGTCAAGCGCCTCAACACTCTGAGAGCAACTCTCCAGAATGGATGCTGAGGCTGACTGCAAGGGCACAAATGTGGAGGCGGGGGTAGGAGGCAGGTGCTGCATCGAGGTCGAAGGCGTAGGAGCAGGCGAGTGGCCGATGAAGCTTTGAGACCTGATTGAATGAGACAAGGGCAACGACAACGAAGGCAGCGACAGCGGTGCAGCGGCTGGAGACAGCGACAACCAGGTGGTGGGGCTAAAAGGTGTCGGCAGATGTGCAGGCACATAGTGAGAAGGGGCCTGCACCACAGGCAGGGCAGCGAACGACGACGCAGGTGGAGCAGTAGCGCTGAACGCAGGCAGCACAGTGCCGTGCCCTTGAAGGGCACTGAAGCTCATGCCTGGCCCGAAGCCACCAAGGTGAGCCTCGTGTGGGTCTACCAGAGGGGTCCAGTGTCAGCAGTGAGCACACAAGAGAGAGCGAGAGAGAGAGAGAGAGCAGACGACGTACTGATTGGCACAGGTTTGATCAGCCGAAAGCTGTCACCTTCGATCCTCCATCGTTCAGCCAGCTCAATCAGGTGCTCCCACTGCCTGTCGCGAACCTTCTGGTTCACGGCAGACTCAGGACCCTCGGTGAGGTCTGACGAGGGCTGCGCAGCATCAGGTGGTGGCACATCGAGATCAATGTTGTAGTGTTCGGCCAGCTTCGCTCGCAGCTCGTTGATGGTGCCTGTCCTGGACAGGTACGTCTTGCTCTTGTAGTTCGTGACACCAGCTGCCTCATTGGCAGCAATGATCCAGCTCTTGAGCACCTCGCCCTTGGCACTCTTGAGGCTCTGAGCCGTGATGTGGCTCGGTGGGACTGGCATCTTGCTCACCGGCAGCAAAAAGCTAGGGAAAAAGAGCCAGAAACTCGGTCAGCAAGCAGCCAAACAGGTGCCGGAGGCAAAGGAGGCAAAGGAGGACGCACCTCGGAGCTCTCTCGACATCCTCTGGGTGTCACCGGGGGTGCGCGGCGCGCGGGAGAGCGGACAGGGGCGCGGAAAGGGCGGGAGGGCACCTCAAACAGGGCCGCTGTAGAAGGGTTTTCAGCGCCAACATCAAGAACTTACATTTACCTTCTTTCCGCATGTACGCAGATGGTGGACGGTGGCTTGACCAGGAAGACAGGACGTAGGTGACGCCGCAAGTGACGGAGTACCCCGCGACCTGAGGGCGGCAGGAACGCGCATGTAAATAGGGGCCCGCTGTGCGCGAGCGTGCCGAGTCATCGCCTGTCGGAGCGGCGCGCCATTCCCGAAGCCTGACGCCACTACTTCGTTTTCCATCGCATTCGCAGGTTCTTCCCCAATAGAGACCCTTTCGTTAACGTTTACCTTCACTTTCCGTACACATAGACCTCCGGCCGAGAGCACGGCAGCGGAGCAGCGCTCGCATGTATATTAAAGGCGACCTCCCGCCGTCGAATGGAGCAAGCTCCCCATTCCCCCACCTTCACCTCTAAAGTCTGCCCCTCTGAGCTTCGGGCACATCCTAAGAGCATCGAGAATACACTCGCGAGAGCGCGAGACGAGGTTCGCCCGCGACGAGCGCGGGCACGAGCATTTAAGTAAGAGTTTTATTAGATCGTTCATCGAGCTTAGTTACGCGTTAGATATCGAGTTTAGTCATCGGCCGTTCCCTCCCCACACGTAAAGCCC